TGCTGCTAAGCCACAGCGGAATTCCCTGGCGAACCGTACGCCAGCGTGTCCCGAACATAATAAATTCTCGCGTGTACATTTGCCAGCGAGTAATCGAGACGTGGAATCAAAGTGCATTGCAACGACACAAACAACCTGACTGTGTTCGTATACTCTGAAATCCACACGTGCTTGTATACAACGAAAAACAGTTGCTATTTCCACTGTTGGAGATATGAATTAAAAAACAGGTCAAACTCAACCACCCCCTGTCGCAAATCTACAGCTGGTCCACAGCTGCATGAGCAAATGAAAAAAAAAATATCCATTCAAACTTGTGTGCGGCGAATAATGCGTCACAGGAGACATTAGTATATAATAGAGAAATTACAAGACGACATGCGCCCGATGCGAAACAGGAGAGATAGAGCGGCGCTGCCGGCCGGCGGCAATAATTTTCCACGCTCCGCGATCTCGAAACGAATTACAGAGGCGCATAATGTAACCTACATAGCTCGGAGCTCGTGCATTCCGCGCTGCCATACCTCCAATGTATTTATATGCAGAAACATCGCAACAAAAGAAAAGAAAAAAAAAAAAAGAAGAAGAAGAAGAGCAAAACGGAGCGGAGCCAAGAAAATGCCCGTAATTATCGCGCACGATAATCGAGCGCGCGTGCTCGCTGACAAAGGTATCGCGCGGCCGGTGATTTTTCCAGGGGCTGGCTCCGTAGCACAAAAGAAGGAGGACCTAATTACCGGCTCTCTTCGCCCATCGGCTATAGACATGCATACACCGCTGGTGTTGTGTTGTTATCCAGCGCCGGTGCATTCCACTCGCGTTGAGCGTGTAACGATTGTGCGAGACACACACACACAGAATCGGGCGTCCCTCATCAGTGAAAGGGACACAAAGGCAAAAGTCGTGAGGATAAGAATCGAGACGGAGAAGGAGGGTCTACTGCTTTGCTGTTTTCACTTCTGCTCTCTGTACACATATACCTATAAGTCTGCTCACTACCTTTGTTTGCCTCCCGCTGTGTGTATGTGTACGTATACACTGCCGCTGCTAATTGTTTTCGCGTGGTTTCTTCTCTGTCATTGTCGTCGTCGTCCTTGTTGTTTTGGCTACTGTTGTCGTCGTTGTCGTGTGCGATTTTTCGTGCATTTTTCTCCAGCTAATTAATGCTGTGCTCTTGAAAGCTCTCGTCGCTGCTTTTGCTATACCATCGTTGGTCGGTCGGTCGGTATCTCGAGGACTTTTGCAAATTTGATGCTGCGATAGGTACACGAGGGCGCAGGAGTTCTCGGTAAATATTTTTCATGAGTTGCGAATGCTCGCCGAGTTCCTGAAAGCTCGCGAGAAGAGCTTGGGAAAACTCGTTATCTCTTTTATGCAACGTAAATAGGAAAAACTGCCGCAGTGCCGGCAACTCGTTGGAAAGTCGACAGGCACTCGTGTATACATATACTTTATTATTATTTTTTTCTTTTCATAGGGTTGGTCGTTCATTATTCACATTAAATTTGAACTTTCAAAACCATGTGATTTTGTTGTCGGTATCAATCAACCGTTCGAGTGGAAATTAAATTCACCCTCCACTCTTAAAATATATATTTCTCGCTTATAATCATAATAGTTGAACAAATTTGATATCGCGATTCATGCGTTAAAGCATCTCTAAATTAAAAAAAAAAAAAAAAAATCATTTTATATGCCGAAAAGAAGAAAAAGTACAATCCTCCCCCAAGAGCCAAAGTATATAAGTAAAGGTGTGCACGGGTATAAGAGGGTATCAGCAGAGCTGAGCGCAGGAAAGATGTACGAAACGGCGAAGCGCTGAAAGCCACGGGCGTCCGTATTATGTATGTACTCGCGCTCTTATATACTATAAATTCAAGTGTATACATGTATAGCAGTATAACGCACACCCAACCCGTTATAGTAATACAGTAAAGCTAGTGGTAGAAGTGGGTGTGGACGCGCGCGTGCAATCCAGAGAGAGGGAGAGAAAACAGCTCACAGCAGCAGCGCTGGGTTATTATATCGTTAAGCCATTTAATTATCTCGGCAAACTACTCCCTGGGAATATTCCGCCCTCCACCCACTTTACCACTGCTGCTACTACCACTATTACTGCGACCTCCCTCGCTTGTATTATCTCTCGAGGTGGTGCTGATGGTGGTGGTGGTGGTGGTGGTGGTGGCGGTGTCGGTGGTAAGCAAAGCCCTCGAGCAAGCAGCAAGAGCGACTGCGCCGGCGCTATACATCCACTATACACAGAGTAGCAAAAGAGAGAGAGAGAGTGAGAGCCACGGACGAGCAACAGCAGCCACTTTGCGATTTGTTTTGCACCGCCACCACCGACGCTCTGCTGGCTCTACCTGGGCGCGCATAATTTTACTCCTCCAACCCCTCCTCGCTCCAACTTTCCGACCCGCCTCCCCGTGCAAGGTTGGGCTCTCCGTGCAATTACGCGAGAACGGGGCTATACGCGATTTCCTCGTCAAAATGAAAATTACATTGTTGCACGCCTCCCCTCTCGCGCACTGCAGGCTCTCCGTGCCAATTACCTAGTCGTATTTTTTTTATTTTTTTTTATTTTCATTATTTCTTTTCCCCTCTGCTTAAGCTGTTGGTGTCGGTGATGGGTTTTTTATTTAGTTGTTCTTTAAAACTTGTTTCGTGTATTTGGTATTATTTTTTAGCTTCGGTGTTTATTTGCTGGTTCTTTATTCGCATCAATTTTCTATGAACCGTACATCAATGACTAGTCTCGTAATATGTTACCCCACAAATGTTGGAGTTGATATTACAATAATACATATTTTACTTTTTTTGATCAAACGCTTATTTAATAAAATGAATGTGTACTTTAAAGCTGTTAAAAGCCACAATTTTTTTTCTTTATCAATAAATACTCTTCAAAGCTTACACATTTGAGTTAATGTGGTTATATTATTCGTTTGGAAATTATAATGAAGATAATTTTTGAAATGAATGTATAGTACGAAATAATTTACAATCTTTTTATATTTCTAATGAATCGTTGCAATAAATTAACAATTTATTCAACTCTTTCGGTTCACTCGATGAAATGTACCAATCGACGAAAATATCTATGTATCATAGCTACATTACATTGATTTAAAAAAAAAATAGATTTCACGCGTCTACTATCCCCTAAAAAAATTATCCCAAGCTGTACGTATAATCTATCACCCTTTTTGCCTAAAAAAAAGGGGAGGGGAGCAAAAAATACTCTGTTGAAAACTGCCAAAACAACGATTACACGAAGGGGAAAAAAAGGACCATCCTCCACAGTTCGCAGCAGTATAGTAGTACCACCAACGCCCCCGCGGGGCACGCCAATCCGCCCGAAATAAAACTCGAAAATAAACCGAAAGCTCGAGCCCCGGATCATCCCTCCCTCTCTAGTCCTCTCTCTTTTTTTTTTTTTTTTTTTCATTTCATCACATGGAGCATCCGCGCGTACAAATACACGGGCCAACAGAGACAGAGAAAGAGGGCTGGGGGCGAGAGGAAAAGGATTCGTTAGCTCGGTGTGTTTAGCGAACGTGCCCAGCTCGCGGTGCCAGAGCAACGAGTAAATAAATGAAACCGCGAGCTGGTGTGTGTGTTTTACGTATACGTGCTCGTGTACTACCTACAGAGAGGAAAAAGAGAGTGCTGCTGTGCAGGGGCGAGCGAACGAACGGATAAATAATTTTATTTGCGGGCTGCGAAGAGGAGTGTACAGGGAGGAGGGGGATGGGGAAAAAAGCACACAGGGCGTCACATTTGGGGGAGGAAAAAAAAAATCAGCTCGTGAAAATGCGAGCCAACCAGCCGTGGCTGCGCGTGATCCTGCGAAGCGGAGTTAACGCGACCAAAGCCCGTGAGCTGGGAAGCAGAGAGAGAAAAGTGGGGGTTGGGAAAAAATCGCTGCGAGGAATTTTGACCCTTTTTGGCGTTTTTGGTATGCGGAAAGCGGATTATTTGGCGCTTCCTTTTTTCTCGTACTCTAATCTAGTTTCGTTCACTCGTTACCACTCGTTTGTACTTCGGGTAGTCACATTAATGCTTTCGAAGTTGCTGATGCGTTTTATGTCATTCAGGGTTTGAAGTATCCTTTAATTTAGCTCATTTTAAAGTTTTATGAGTATGCAAAAATGCTTATTTCGTCTCGTTTCAACTATGAAATGCTGTAATTTTTTCATTTTCTTTATACTCGATTAATACTCAATATTTTCTCATTTGTTGTCTAATACGAACAGATCACTTTTAAAAATCGTGCAAAAATACAAATGTTAAAGTAACAGGTCTCTATTTCATGGGTTTTACTCCAGTGGGCTAATATTTTTCTATCCGTCAATTACATCAAATACGAATCACTATAAGAAAAAAAACTCGCCCACCCTGCTGCGTCATCTGTCGAAACGAGGGTTCATAAAGTCTCGGATGGCTGAGAGAAAGGGAGACGAAAAACGTGAGAATTTTATCACCAGCGACAAAAATAGAATATTCAACATGTATACGACACAGCGAGTGAAAAAAAAAAAAAAAAAAAACAACTACAGCGTCCAATACTTTTTGTTGTGCACCAACACGTAAAAACTTTCGGACAAATAGAAAAAGCAGAGAGGACGTNCCAGCATCTCTAAAAAAACCCTCCTGCCCCCCGGCGATCCTGGTACCTACCGCCGAGCGACACCAACTTCCCCTTCCCACTAAAAAAAAAAAAAAAAAAAAACAACTACAGCGTCCAATACTTTTTGTTGTGCACCAACACGTAAAAACTTTCGGACAAATAGAAAAAGCAGAGAGGACGTGGGTGACGCGATATGATTATTTACCTGCGTCATCTTGTCGTATACGCAACGAACCCTCGAAATTTTTTACTCGCTCGAGATTTCAAATCAAGACCATCTGATACAAGCCACGATCACTGTATAAACTTCCCCAAACAATGTCAACCCAAACACCGAACAAGTTAACGAGCATCCAAAAACTTGTTTCAGCAACAGAGGCCTGACTTGCCGAGGCTGCTACAACAGATGCACGCACAACAATTACCACCTGGCGCTGCGATGGGACCACATCCGGGTCCACTGGGCCTACCTGGCTTGGGTCCCGGGGCGGGAATGCCGGTGCCCACCTCCGCCTCGGCCCTACTTGGCTTGGGACTACCTCCGGGGGCCGGCGCTGCTCCTGGTGGCTCGGGGCATCCGCTCAACATGCTCGCCAAGCCCGAACTACACAGCAGACAGTCCGACGATCTCAAGACTAACGGCGGTAAAAGTCTTTTTTTTTTTTTTTTTTTTTTTTTTTTTTTTTTTTGTGTGCTTATACCTGTTGTGTTTCACTCCTGTGCATTGATGCTTTGATCTACTGGTTTCTACAACTATGCACCTTCAATCTGAGATTCATTCTTGCGCTTTGTTCGCGCTGTAGGAAGATTTTTGGCTAATACTTGAACATTACTTTCTTTTTTTTGTTTTTTATTTAATAATGATATAAAAAATTTATATCATTGATCCAACGCGTATCACGAAAATTCACTAACGCAGAGCAACTAAAAATTGATTGATCCTCAGCAGTCTCGATTCCCTGGTTCCACGCGATTCGCTGTACGTGTAACTCGCACAAACGGCGCCATACGGGTGTAGGAAACAGAAATAAATGATTTGCGCTCGCGGGGCGTACGGGTAACAGTAGCAGTCGGTAAAAGTACAGAGGGAAAGAGAAGGAATTGGAAAAAGCAATATTTACCGTTTCCTTTTTCGCTCGCGCTGCGCGAAACTACAGGTATATGTACGCGGGTGTGTGTGTTTTTCCCCGACCGTTGTACGTATGTATGTATACACGCTTTGAAAATAAAATTGCGCGCGGTGTATACCCAGGATTGTTATCGTTTTAAAAGGCTCGGCGGGGAGCAAAAAAAAAAAAAGGAGCGCAGACCCTCCCCCTATCCTCTCTCTCTCTTGTTTCGATTACTTTTGATGCTTCAATTTTTGTGTTTCCGATTGCCACGATTCTTCCTTTGTTTCGCTCTTAATTGTTTCTCCCTCTGACTGATTTTTTTCCCGCCAACTTATTTTTCGCTGTTGTCCGATAAAACAAAAACAAAAAAAAGGTTCCTAAAGCTACACATACAACACCATGCACGTACCACTAATTTCCTCGCCCAATATGCAAATAACGAAGCCGAAAAGGATAAGTTTGCGTAATAAATCCCACCTCTAGATGTTATCTATTGTTTTACAAAGACGGACGCACACACACACGCGCCAACTCCTCTCTACATAGCAAGAGTGAAAAAACCGCGAGACGCAGAAAAAGAAGTGACGGAGAACGAGGCGGGCGAGGGAGGGGGCGATTAAATAAATGAACGTGCAAATGGCGTTTCAAACGAGCCGTGAATAATTTCCGTCAAGATTGCCGTGCTGCAGCGCGACCTCAATTCTTCGCCCCTCCCTCCCCCCCGCTCATCTGTCTCGTTCATCTTTTTGTGTCGCTCTCTCTTCGCGTCTTCTCTTCCCTTCTCGAGCCGTATATTCACTCGTTTCCTCGTGAGGAAGAGAAGAAGATGACGTACACATGTATATGTATACCCAGAGACACGGAAGAAAGAGAGACGGAGAGGGAAAAAAGAGCGTTTGCACTTGTCCGGCCGAGGAACGCTGACAAAGACTCGAGTGGCCTGTCTGCTTGCCTCGGAAGAAGAGGAAAAAGGACTTTCCGTCTCGCTTCTCCTTGGGCTATCTAGCGCCCAGGCTCTTCTAGCTCGACTCCCTCCCCCTTGGCCTCTGCCCACCCCCTCGCGACGAGAACTCTTGGAATCTCCTCTCGACACAAGGGCGCTTCCGAATGTCTTTCTTTTTCTTTCTTTTCTTTCTCTCACCTCCTCCTCCTCCTCCTCCTCCTCATCTCGCCAACTTGTGCCCCTTTTATCTTAGCCTCTCCTCGTCTCTTCTATAGCCAGGGCTCGCGACTATCTCCGTCCTCGAGCTCCTTTTTTCTCTCGCCTCATATCTCTCCTTTCTCTCTTTGTGCTCTCACAACTCGGAGTAGTAACACAGAGCTTGCGTCGGATACATTTCTCATTAGATTTTCGAAGCCATGTGCCACATACCTATTCAAGTATATGGGAAGGTAAAAAAATAAATAAAATTATGCAAAAAATAATGTGCAAGGCTCCTTGTGTTTCGTATCCAATCCGAAGACTGGAGCGTGAAATCCCCGGTCCCCTCGGCCCTCTCAATTTGCCCGCCTCCCGTCGGCATCTCTGTCGAGCGTTTTCGTGGTAATGAAGCACGCTCTCTCGCGATACTGTACCCTACACCAGCTCGGGTGCCCTCCTCCAAGTTAAACAAGCTCCCAGCTGCTACCCTCCGCTGCATCATTGCGATCGTTGTCGAGTCATTAAGCCCCTGTAGTAGTATACCAGTGCGCTATATGTATATATACATGCATAAGCGAGCGTATCCACTTTCCGATGTCGCGCCCGGGCGTCGTGATTGCCGGTAGTTTTGCGCGATTATCGGCTCCCCCGCTCCACCGTCGGCGAGATTCATTAACGCAAAAGCGCTGCCGTGCGGTGAAACCGGCCCTCCCTCGGCCCCCTTTCCTCTCGATCGCCTCCTCCTCCTCCTCCTCCTGTTTCGCCCGCCTTCCCACAAACGTGCGCCGTGGCTGTAAGTGATTATGCCCGCGGGACCGGATTAAGTATCACTGTATGTACAACCTGTTTGCCTTTTTTTTTTTTTCCCTTTTTGCTCGTTCGGGAGCCGTGTCATGCGACGCTCGTACTTACTTTTGCGTTGTGTGTTCGTGTTGTCGTACAGGAAGCTCAATTTTCTCAACATTACCTTATAGATGCTTGTAAAGCGCAATCTTGGTCAGACGATACTTTTTTTTTTCATCTCTAGTTAAAAAAGGATCTTCCTGGGCGAAAAATGAAATTTTCCATGAATCTCGATTGTGTAAATTATACACTCGTGATCCGCTATAATACCACCGATTAACCGAGATGCCAAGCTCCCACGACGAAAACAACACATCATAGCACACGAGCCACCGATAAAAAGGAGGAGGAGGAGCTTCTTCGTATACACACATATATAACATGGAAATAGCTTTTTTTTCTTTCCCCTCTTGACAGAGCCTATTATTTTTAAGCTCAGCCGAGCATAACGGCCGGTATTTGTCATACACGCTCACTTACATGGGGGGCGCACGAAGCGCCAACCTTATTTCAATTTCCCAAATAGACAGAGACTTGATAAATATATACATGTATCCCTGATGGGGCCCCGGCTCCTTAACTGCTCGCTCGTACGGCAAGATAAGGATCCTCCCTCTATTACTTTTTCTTCTCGTACGAGTATACGCATATATATGTTCGCCCACGAAACGACCTCTTTGCGTTTTAGTGGGGAATTATGCGCTGGCATAGAGGCCCTCGTCTTTTTTCCCTTTACTCTTGGATACTCGACTCGTTTACGAGCGTAAACGCCATATTTACCTCGCACAGGGGGGATATCGAAGGTGGTTGTAAGCACTTCTCTGTTATATATATGTACTAGCTTGGGGAGAAAATGGGGTCGATGGTGTGTGTGGGGGAGGGAGTATCACCGAGGAGGGCCACTTTGATTGGTTTGTTAATTAATTTCGGTTTCTTTGAACGAGATTTCACTGCTTTGGAAAACCTTGTTTGCCCATTTTTCCTGATTGGAAAATTTGGACTTGACGCTGAATACATTTTCAATATAAACCAAATGCAGTAAAGTCAATTTCTGGAAAAACGTGTATACCTAACCCATACTGCGTTGCTTTGATGTCGATAAGGGGAGCAAAAGCGGGATCTGAAAATGCATACCGAACGCGACGTTTGTTTATCGAAAAAAGAAGAAAAGCGCAAGCCAACACGTTTCATCCTTTGAAAACGAAATTGGCTTTGAAAAGAATTTTTGATAAATATCGGCTGCCACGGAACACTCTATGCGCGATTTTTCTATAAATTACGCAACGTTGGAGCGTCGAGTTTCAAAAGAAAGAAAAAAAAAAAAAAAAAATACGTACTCGCGAGCACAGAGCAAACGTCGCGGAGCGCGTTTCACCGCGAGTTTTGCCAACTCCGGGCGTACGTATACTTAAAATTGTCGGCGTGATCCGCCCCAAAAGCCAGCGGAACTTTTGAAAAATTCACCCGCGCTCTGAATAAATAAAAAAGAAATACACTCCCACGCGCTTTTTTTCCCTACGAAAGGAGAACTCCACGAGTAAATGCCGGGGCACGTAAAAAGCGAGATGTACACGTTTGAATGGACAGATACGGGGTACCGTGAAAGGGATATACCCTCGTATGAGAAATGGAGACATGCGTGCATCGGCATTTCGCGCCGGCGGAATTTTTCAAGAGAAACGAATGCCGTTGGGCAAATATGGGTGCGCATCCAAGTGAATAGAGCGGAACATCATCTCGTATCCATCAGCTCTCCGGGGTGGTATATCCTATCGTCGAGCGAAGCAGTGCGCGCGTGCTTTTTTGCCTTCTACGAATAGCGCAACCTCTACCCCATTGTATTCTCTCCCTTTTCTCAATCGAAAGAGCTCAACTTTTACATGGAACCGTAAACAGAATTTAAAAGTCGATTTTCCCAGTCTCGCTTTTTTTTTTGTTTCCACACATGCCCAAACAAACGATAAAAGTTTCACACCATCATGCATCAAATAACCCAACCCTTGTGGTTGGAAAAAAAAAAAAAGTATGTCTGCACTTTGCTTCGTCGATAAAACATGTGGAAACAACGATCGGAAAATCGAAGAAAAAGAACAGAAAAGCTCACCGATGCAACAAATCGTCACCCCAATTCGCCGTCCCGTCTTAAACCCACCGTAACACGCAAGCCCGCCCACTCGACTCGCGAGAGAAATAGAGAGTAGTCGCACCCGCGCAACGCCCTCGAGCATAAAACAAATTTCCCTCGGTGGTGGTGGAATTAATTCCAGCGAGCAGGCAAAAGCCTCCCCCTTCCACCCCCGCTTCCTTTCCGAATCGCCGTCTCGGCTCTTTGCTTTTCCCCCGTGCGTTCCCCGCCCCTTCCGCGTCACGCGAAAGGAGGAAAGAAAGAGCATGATGTCGCCAAGTGCAAAAAGTCACGCATATATACACCCCATGCTCGAGAGCCCTCCTCCACACCCCTGTATCTTCGCTGGTGTACGTACTCGAGCGTTGTATCTCTCGACGCAGCAGCTATCGTGGCATAAAGGCATTAGCTGACGTCGTTCTACGCCGCTCCACCCGCGTGTGTCATGTGGGGAGTAAGCAAGGGAGAGGGAGGGGGTGGTTGGATTGTATCGCGAGGGCGTATAGCCGCTAGACTGTAAATATGTACCGAGGACTGCGGGAGATAGCGCGGAAAGAAGGGGCTCGCGCTCGAGTGGAACAGAGCCGGCCGCTCGAGTGCGCCTCTATTGCTTGCTGTGTGTAAAAATCACGACGCGCCACGACGACCCTTCGGCTCTTTTATCCCCCCCCCCCCCCACGGCTTTGTGGTGGCGGAGGACGCGACTAATGGTGTCTTTTCTACTTTCGGCATGTGTATGTGTCTTTTTTTGAGACTTATCAGTATCGATTTTTTTCAACCCCAATAACTTGGCCGGCATGGATATCGGACGAATGGAAAAATAAATAAATAAATCACCACCACGCCATGAGCATCATCTCTCCTGCAACGGGAAATCAAAACCAAGGGAGGCATGAAAAATCGTGCCCGAGCCGGGCACACATAATTCACCCCGATGTACACCACTTGAGAGTCCCTTCTCCTCCTCTACCCTCCCCTCATAAATTATGCATCCCTGCATCATCTTCCTCAATCACGCTGCCTATCACTCAAGTAGCACCACTCGGCTACACTCTCGTCCGGTACAAAACAACGATCAATTTCGCCGCGGCTCAAACTCAGCTGCTCTCTCTCTATAGATGCTCCTTTGGACAAACACGAGCGAATCCCGACCCCCTGAAGTGATATACACAGCAACGTGCCACGTAACCACCGAGTTATGGGGTTGTCGAGAGAAGCGAGCGCCTCTCTTTCATACCCTCCGCCCGAGCTTGTATCGCCGGGAGTAGGAGAAAATTGGGAGTAGGGGAAAGAATTTTCTCATATTTTCCGATTATTACAGAGCCCACGATGTTGCAGCCTCCCCCACCCTCCAACGTGTTATGTACACGATAGCCGGAAAGCTCGGCACGCTCCGGGAAAACTTGCGGCTAAAGCTCTCCCCTAGCTCTCGTCGAGCTTTACCGCGCTGTATATTACCACCCCGTGTGGGTGGGCTTCTTTTCAACGCCACCACCGCCGCTTCCTGAATGCGCCCCGCTTTTTTCTCTCTCTCTCTCTCTCTCTTTATATCCTCCTCTAAAGTTTCTTCCCGGCCATCCTTTTTTTTTTTTTTTTTTTTTTTACTCCCCCGCCCTCTTCATGGACTCTGTGCTCTTTTATTCCCTCTTTCCCAGCCGCTCTTCTTTTCCGTTCTCGTCGGTGTGTAGCTCACGGTACGCTGCGCTGCTCATGGGACCGAGAGAGTGGCGTGTACATACACACACACGGGGCTTTTGTTACGATCCCTCGAATGTTTTGGAGGCCAGGCTAATTTCCTTTGAAAAGGTGCGAAAGGTTACGAGGCACGCACCCCCAGCCGGTTGGGCGGTCGAGATTAAAGGGCTGTGGATGCGGTACAAATTTTACGTGTAACCCGCGTTTTTTTGGAGCATGCAAAAAGTTGTACGAACTTTCGTGAAACGAGTAGGCTTTTTTTTTTCATCAGAACTTTGGAGGGTAATATCAGAGCCCACGAACCGAAAGAGCGGAAGAAAATGTTTTTTTCTCAAAAGCCGTATAATATGCGTACAGCAACAAAGAAAGTAGGTGTACTGGCAGAGTTTCCTCCGCGGATAGCAGAAAGTTTTTCCGATATCGAAATCTTTCATCTGCAGCCCCGGCGGCTCGTCTGTTTTCCAAAAGATACTGCTCCGAAGAGCTCATCATGCACACGCGGCTAAAAGCTTCTTTTGTACTTATTGTCGAGGCTCAAGTGGCCGCGCGCGTTCTCGAATAATCATTAGGGTCGGATTGATGTTCGACTCCCTATTCTTTTCACTCTGCACTCTCTTTTTTTTTCGTGCCATTGTATTTCCTCATCCACGAGAAACGCCTCCGTTTACAATAACACAATGCACTACACCTACTCTCTAATAAATAACTTGTATGCCTGCCTATACACTTATTACATAATGCATTTACGAGTAGGTGCTTACACGTGTGGTAACTAAATTTTTTTTTTTTTTTCTTTTGTGTTGCAGGTCTGAATCCGGCGGAGGAGAGGCATGTGAGTATCGCAATTCTTTTGTACTATTGCGTACCGTTTCTCCCTTTCCTGTGTCCGCTTGTATACACTCTCCTGCCTGTGTCATTCACACAAAGTTTTTCTCTCTTTCCCTTTGAACTGTACAATGTGGTAAGGGTACACCCATGTGCGTTGTGTATTTCTTGCGGTTAAGAGGCAAATCCATTGTAACAGGGCCTCGAGGACGCAGGGGAAAGGAGGCGCGCATAACTGGCCTCTTCTAAACACACGTGTATGTGTTTGCATACATAAAAAAAAAAAAAAAAAAAAAAAAAAAAAAAAAAAAGAAAGAAAAGAAAAGGTAAGACCGAAAAAAGAAGTTCACTCAGGGAGAATAGCTCGAGTGGGACCATGTGCTCGTACACACGCACAAAACCACCGAGAGCTCAAGAGAGTCCCTTCCGTTTTGTGTTTTGTTCGTTGCTCGTATACGATTGGCCGAACAGACAACTATTTTTTTTGTTCTTCCCTTCCACTCTATTTCTCGCGCGCGACAAACCCTCTATTATGAAGCTAATGCGATTACAAAGGGACGCTGAATGCGCTCGAGTATTGGATTACGATAAAAGGTTTTCACGTATTCCACTTTCGGATAAATACACGCCGTATCGGCCGCACAATGGCGAATAAAATTGGATTTTTCACTCCTGAATTTATTTTTTTCTCTCCTCTGCCTTGTTTTGGGTCCTACATAGGGAAGCAAACACCTGGACGAGGGGTTGTTTTTTTTTTCCTTTCGACAAGTCGAACCATCGATTTGGAGAACCCATTATTTGGGTATATCGGTTATGAGAGGCTTAGCACGCGTGGCCACGCGTACTTGACTATAGTAACCTCGATACCCTCGTTTGTGAGCAATAACGCACTCTATGAAAAAAAAGACAAAGCACGCGCTAAAAATCACGGGTAAAAAGAGAACAGCTGGAACGAAAAAATGGACCATTTGGTGGATTAACGAGCAGTCGCGTCAGGTAACGAGGTCGTTGAGCACCAATTTATTTTTCATTCAGCCATCAGACGGCCCAAAACAATTTTCAAAAGATAGCACCCATACATCATGGTAAATTTATCGTCGAGATACATCATTTGAATATCAATCGACCACGAAAGAAAGTACAATGGGATGGCAAAAAAAGAGGGGAAAAAAATCTAGTCACATTCGATAAGCCTTACAAGTGAGGGGGGAAGGAGACACACCCCTTTTTTTCACAAGCGCGTCGAAATAAACAGGGAGAGAACAGTGGCGGATACAAAGTGGCTAACCCAGGGGCGCGACGACAACGGGGTCCCTCGTTCATTCGGTATACGTGTGACTGTACTGTAACACCCTTTTCTCCCTTTGGGTGTGTGTAGCAGCATGGCTCATTGTGTTTGAATATGATATGGGTGCGCGTACAATCCCCCCCAATACAGCTGTACGAAAGTGAGACAGAAAAGGGGAGATGAGAGAAACGCACTCGAGAGAAGGAAGCGTCGTCGCGTCTGACGCCGACATCATTATATTGTTCTCGCGTACTGTGTCCTGCTCGGCTGCTGCTTGGCTTTTTACGCTCAATGCCTCCATAATCTACTACACTGCTGCGTTCTTAATCTCCTACTCTCTGCGGATTTCGTAACTATTGCTGCCTTGGGGTGCGTTGGTTGCATCGTATTATACGTACACTTCCGCGCAGTGCTCTTGGATGAACGTCTTTACGGGGAGATGATGACTTTTTTACTTTTAATTCGAAGTAACATATAGATATATCAGCCGCGATTTTTAACAAACGCCACGCCCGTTTTGATGGGTTAATTTAGATGTGCGCAAGATTAGCGAAGTACATATATCATTGCTGGTTACGATTTACGGCGCATCGGACAAATAAAGACAAGATTCTGTTCTCTACGGGTATAACCGGGAGGTTCATAATTCACGGCGTACAGATGCACGAGCACGTAACTGACGATAAAACAGCGATTCCTCGGGGGAGAACGAGTTATTTTCAGTTCGGAAAGGAGATATTTATGAAACGCAAACCGCTGGTATGAGTATACGTTCGAAACAGTAAAATATCCTGTTACCGCGCAAAAGGGTATGGATGGAGGTTTTCACTGTACACGAGTTTTTACGAGAACGCAGTCAAACGATACGTGGCAGTTATACATTTTTTAAGTAGATGAGGTCGAGTTTGGTCAGACGTAAAATTGGGTTCAATTATTTTTGTACATAAAAAAAAAATTGCAGGAATATATTCTTTGTTGTACACAAATTATCACGAGTAGTAAGAAAGAGGTTGATAAAATAAATCACGCGAGCCATAAAATTACAGAGGTTTGCGAAGATTTTTTTCACAAACTGCCGAAAGAAGTGTAAGAAAAAAAAAAAGAAAAAAATAAAAAATGTGAAGAGAGAGAGGGAGAGAAAAAAGGCAGCTACGTTATACGATTTCACCTCGTAAAGCAGATTAGACGCGCGGGAGGCAAAGTGCGCGCAGTAAAATGTATTATACCTCTATATATACGTATAGCAGGGAAAATCTCACCCTCGAGTAATGGAAAGGTAACCTATAAGCGCCTTGTAGTAACCAGATCGCTCGGCGAGGACGACGGGGCAAAGCGAGCGGAGGTATATAAAAGTCGTTTGCGCCGCGTCGCTGGAAAGACCATAAAAGACTCTCCCTCTTCCCTTTTCACCCTATAAGTACACGTACACTTGTGTGTATCTTCGATTATAAAGCTCTGCGTCAGAGCTTTCAGCTTTGGAGCTTTTTTTTAGTTACTTAAAAGTCTCGCAGTACTAATACCTTTTACTGTCGCGTCGATCGTCAATTTGCTCACACGCACTCTGACACGTGGACACAGTACAGGTGCTCCTCCATGCGCAAATTACGGTGTACGTATAGGCTTAGATGACGACACGCGTATGGAAAAAAAAAATTTATTTTTTCAAAGCCAGAACATACGACCTTAGCCTTTTACGCTCGGATAAAAAGCTCTGATGGCTATATCGGATTACCGAGCGCTCACCTCTATCTTCCACGCTCGATATCTCTATTACGACAGCAATGCTTACTTAATCCACCCGACGCTATAAACTCGAATCCTCAATTTACGACGGACACACTTTGAAATGCATACACCCATACGCAGACGTTATTCGATTGCGAAAACATTCGCGTTGTAGCCCAAGGAAACCGGTATAAGTGCTCATATGTAAACTAACAACTCGGAGTGGCTTACTTTGGCTGCATCGCGGTCTTTTTTAATTAGATCAACCGCGCAATCTTCCGCCTCGTAGAGCACGAAAGTCACTTAACCGGCGACCGGATAAGAGGCACGCAATCACTGCCAAGCGCGCGTAAATCAAACTTTCGCAGATTAATCCACCGGTCCGTTACAACTTGATCGAAAAAGCCCCGTCGAAGGTGGAAAAATAGACGCAATACTACTAATAATAAATCAGCCGAGCGTTTCGCGAAATTTATCTCGGAGTTTACTTTTACCGGGAGCAAAAGGAGAAAAATCGATGTACGGCTAATCGAATCACGCGCGCGCTGGCCACTAATGACCGGCTCTCTGGATGACACGGATAGTACGTATAAATACGAGGGCAACTTATACTCGCTCTACCGGGTAATTAGAGTCCCAGCCGCTGCGGAGAGGCGCTCGATACGGGGGATTGATTATCACGCGTCTGCCTCTTAGACGCTGCGTTGCATGTGCATTGTGTTGTGTATACGTAGGCTATACGGTATGGGGCTCGCGTGCCCGGATGGCTAAAGTGTTATGTATGTGTGTGTGTGTATGTGTGTGTATAGGTACCTCATAATCCGGCTTCTGCCTATGCTATACTGGCTTTCCACTTGGATGAACTTCTCCTGTTGCGTGCAGCTTATAGTTATTTATGCTACTGGCCGCTGAAACTCGCCTTTGATGTACCTGAAATTGAAATACGGGTGTTAGTTTGATTGATTATTTTTTCCCGTAGTCTCTTCTTTTAATTGTACGCCACTTTATTTATAATACTACATACTCGTGAGTTAAAACAAAAAAAAAAAAGAAACAAAAAAAACTCACACCAAAGTTTGATTACCGTCTTTCTACACGAGCAAAACTTTCGTTTATAAAAAAACTGGCTTGTGGGAAACCTCAAATGTAACAATTAAAAACCCCCGATTTGTTCCAATGGGATAAGCCATAGGAGCTTTCAAGTAAATCCATGTTTTTTGCACCTCCTTCGCCGAAACGATTAACCATTCGCTCGAAAACAATTTTACGCTCGATTAACTAACAATTACGCGCTCGATCAAATTGACGTCCGGCAAACTTGGAAACTCATAGCGTATCATTATGACCCGCACATGGCGTAATAGTTGCCACTCTCTCGTAGGTGAAAACATCACACTGACACCAGCTAAAGACTTGTAGGCTATAGTATCGTGGGATGCCTATAAATAATGCAGTCCTGATCGAAACTTTACCGGTGCGCGCTGTGGAATACCGAAGTACGGGATATACGAGACTCTTGTGTATAACGGATATGCATGAGGGAAGAAAAGCCCGCAACAATAACTATCGGGTGGTTGTTTATCCTCGTGTGAACAAATAACTATACTAATTTTGACAAGTCCACGGTATCAAGTGAAAATCGCATCATCTGCTCTTGTGGTCGATGTACTCGCGTCAAGCCGTTAACACGAGCAGCTCAAAGAAAACAACTTATCAACGGCTCGAAAATCAGGACTAGAGGGAGCTACTTCTGTACGCTTCGTTCCACCAAAGATGCAGGGGGGGTGGGTGTTGGTACAGCACGGAAACTTTCCCGTGTGTGTGCTCGGTAAACACGCGAGAGAAGCGTTACCGATGCACTTTAAGCTCGCCTTCTCTGCTCTGTATGTGTACTCGGTTACCCGTTCGCCTCGAAAATCGTCAATGTTATTTCCGCGCACGTTTGCTCGTCGAGCGCAATTCCCTCCCCCCCCCCTGTGTAAGCTCCGTGTGGC